AGAGACAGAGAGACAGAGAGACAGAGAGACAGAGAGACAGAGAGACAGAGAAGAGAGATCAAGAGAGAAAGTGAGAGGCGAGAGTGAGCGGCGGGACAAGCGGATGTGGACACCAGTCAGCACATCAGCACGTGGTACAACACAATGACGGTGCGGTTTTCACCTTGTGATTGGGGTGGAAACAACTGGCCGCCGACGCTGACTGTGAACAACACACCCCGCCCCTTTCCCAGGCCTTCGCTCTCACCCACCACCTTTTCCCCTCCCAACCGTGTTGCACCGCCTTCGCGAGCATTTTAATTTATGAGGAAATAGAGGGGAGGGTGTACGCAGACCCTGTCCTACATTTTCCCGGTTGCATGCTGTATCCAGTGTTTTGTTGATAGAAAAAAAAACGCGAATCACTGAAGGTGTTCCCCGTGCCAACGGCTCCGTTTCTGCAGCGACGATTCTGGAGAGCTTCATCCAGGCCCAGAAGATATCGGTACGGCGTGCCCTCAGGAGAGGTTTCCGCAAGTATCTCGCCGACCCGTCCGACTTCTTCGCCCTGCTTCTCGTCGAGCTCCAGAAGATGGTGAGTCTTTCATGTCCTTTTCGCAAAAGCCTTTTCGCAAAAGGTGGTGAATATTGATGTTTTTTCTGCAGAAGATGGTGAGTATTTTATGTTCTTTCTGGAGAATATGGTCAGTCTTTGATGTTATTTCTGCAGAAGATGGTGAGTGTTCGGTGGTCTTTCTACAGAAGGTTGCCAGTCTTTGATGTTCTTTCTGCAGAAGATGGTGAGAACTTGATGTATTTTCTGCAGAAGATGGTGAGCCTTCTTCGTTACCTTTACAGCAGCAGCGCTTGAGAGATCCCACGTGCTTGTCCCATGTGCTTCGGCTAACGTTATTTGTACGTCGCATGGGGTTCAACCGCTGTCCCTCTACAGTTCCGGGATGAGCAGACCTACTACCGCCTTCGGCACAGCAACCCTCCTGAGTCCCTGGAGGTGGAAATGGACGATCTGGAGTCCAAGGCCGGAGAGTTCGGCATCTACGATCTCTCGGGCTTCTACCAGAGCAAGCTCTTCAAGGACAAGAGGTGATGCATTTATGACAACGGTGTTGTTATTCGCGAAAAAAATTTAATTGGGGTGTTTCGGAACACGGTTCGACCCTTTTCGATTTAGGTAGAACTTTTCGATTTAGGTTGTTGTTGTTGTTGTTTGTCTTCACATTAAACCGTATGTCAGTTGCTAAATGCCAAAATCTAGCAAAAGACTCTCAGCCCGTGGTCACGAAAGTGCTAGAGCCATCTGAGGATCTAAAGAACACGCACACATCTGACGAGAAAAAGGTATGCAAGAGCCCGAAGAGGTACACCTAAAAATCCCTGCAGCACCGTATGCGTGCCCAAAAACTGAACTGCACGTCCGTCCCACCGTTCGACTACAGTAGCATCACCCCCTCCCTGTCCCACTCTATACCAAAACGGAAGATTGCCGACTACAGCATAATGCTGTCTGAAGTGCTGTCTGTACAAAAACACCATGGTAGGCATGGAACAAGCAGCTGGCGGGGCACAAAGCTGCTGTCTGAAGTGCTGTCAGAATGTGTCTGCGGCCGTACAGTGAAAAAGAACAACCAACCAAAGCCATCATAGCAGCAATTGACAATCACCCGAATCTCTCCCGATCGTCTGTGTTAGGCACTGCAGTGAAAAATATCGACACTAGCTAAGAATCGTTCCACATTGAAGGGGTCTTCCACGATCAGGCACAAAACCAATGCACCCGGGTTAGCCACGCCATCTACAAAACCGGTGACGATGGCATCACACAATACCAACACGGAAAGTCAGAAAAAAAACGAAAAAATTGACAACACAGATAGAAATGTTTGTCCGTGCGCCACGGGTCGATGTCGCCCGCATGCTCCGGTGCCATTGCTCCATCCGGCGCCGCGGTAGTCAGCCCGAGCAAAACGCCACTCGACCTGCTCCGTCCGTACACGCTCTCGTTGCTGTCCTTCCCAGTCCGTTCCTCGCTTTCTCCCTAATTGCACTCAAGGTTCTTGGTCTGAAAAAGATAAAAATTCTCGCGCCGAATGGTCAACCAGCCTAGTTCAGCTCGTCGCCACCTGCTCCCTCCTCCTTTGATGGCGAAGCCAGGTTACTGAGGCAATGCAGCTCCCTCTAGCAAACATAGGGCCGTGTAGTGCCCGTTCACCTTTCCGATGATGTCTGCCTCCGCGCACAAAAATGAGATGGGCATCACTGCCAACGCCGACGGCCAGAAAGGCCCGCGCATCTACATTTTCCCGCCTGACCCCATCAGTGCCGACCCAACTCCACCACCACACGCACGCCTCGCGGCGGATGCGCAGCAGCAAGAAGGTTTCGGTCATCCCTTGAGGGTGAGTCTAGCCCTGCTCGCCAGAAAGACCCCCCCCTTCGCTACAACCCATGTCTAAGCAAAAGCTTGTCGAGGAGCGAGGGGAAGAAGGTATAGTATAGTATATATAGGTGGAAGGGTCCATTTCTGGGAGCAATCCCCAAGACGGAACATCGAGCTCCTAAATCTGGAAAGGGGCTTTCAGATTTAGAAAAATAGAGGCCCGGCGCACCTTTTTTCGAAATCGAAACCGCTTTCAGGAGACGACGTAGATTTAGGAGGAGCAAAGAGAACCATCGCCACCCGCAACAGCAGTGTATATCAGTAGTTGTCGGAAAGCCTGGAACTCCAGGCACCACGGAAGGCGCTGTTGTGGACTCCATCTTTGCCAACGAAGGTCAGGCCTACCTACACCTGTCTGGGGGTTGGTTGCTCTGCGTGCGTGCGTGCGTGTTGTGTTTGTTGTTGCTGGGCGAGGGAAGAAGCACCAGGGGGAAACGAGGAAGATCAGATTTGTCTTCAGTTTTTGACACGCTCGGCGATGTGCTCTACTATATGTAAACGGGGTGTACTGTGCGTGCGTCTCCTCTCTTCTTGTTGGTTGCTTAGGATGCTCCCTCTCTCTCTCTCTCTCTCTCTCTCTCTCCTCCCTTCTTGTGGAAGAGGTTCTGTCTCTCGTTCGCACACCGCAACAAAAGACAAGTGAGGCTCCTTGATCACCCCCCTCCTCACAGATGGCACTGACGGGTGGTGCAGCCCCTCAACTACGTGTATGCGTGGTCTGTGTCATCCTCATCAAATTGCACAACGCTCCACCTTCCGATGTGTGATGTGTTTCGATGCAGCACAGGAGCCGCTGTCCTTTTTCTTGTGCAGCCCTTTCCGCGCCGGCGTGTTTCGTTGCCGCGTTCAGCTCCGCGGTTTCCACAAAATAAACTTCCGAGAACGTTCGTTCCACCTAAATCGAGAAAG